ATTTATATACGTATTCATACTAATTGCATTAGTAAAATAGATTTTGTATTTTATTTGGCTCATTTTGTATTTTCAATATCACTTTATATACCAGGTAGTTTGTATTTAGATTTGAATTCGTCTTAATGGTATACAATCAAGTTTTGAATTGTATGGTCTATCTTTTCAATTGAAATGAGTATTTATCGTGCTCAGTTTGTATTCCATTCTCAATTTGAATGCCAACAAATTTGTATTACTTTATTATTATGTAGTCATTATTGTATGTCACTCGCAATTTATATTTCAATTACATTTTAAAATGTGAAAATTTTATAAATGACAAATATTAGACTAATATTTTCAAGTTGTAGTAGTAGAATATAGCTTTCAAGTTGTAACATTTTATTTTTAAAAAAAGGATTTTTTAAGTAATTGTAAAAATCTGTTTTGAGAAAAATAAAGAGATAAAAAAGAAAAATAAAATAATTTTGATTACAAAAAAGCAAAAAAATAGAAGTAGGAGTATTAATTAAATTTGAATTGATTGATGATAATTTTTAATTAGCATAAATTAAGGAGATTCAAACTGATTAGGAATATTTATCTTTCTTAATTCACTCTAATTTGTTGAAATTAATAAAAAATCTAATTTTATCCATTTTCTTCAACGTTTCTCTCTCTTCGTTTTTTTTTCAAAATTCTTGCCATTGACGAGTAAATTCAGTTTTTTTTTTGTTCAAAAATTTTTCATTTTGTTGTGATGGACGACTCCTTATCTATATTAATTAAACATGATGGAAGATGGGATCCTTCAGGTTAGTATTGTATATGATTTATTGTTTGTATTTGTATATTACTAAAATGTAAAAAAAATAAAAAAAAATAGCAATGAAACTGTAAATCACATTTTGTAATTTTATTTATGTATACTATATTTAAGTTATGATGTTTTTTGTATAAACCATTCATTTAGTTCATAATACATACTAATTTATGTGAAACTGTAATTAATGACATTCTATGATTTTGTTGGTACGTTTTTTTTTTTTGGTTATTTTCTATACTGACTATACCATGATTTCGTGCGAAATTGACTTAATATATGAATGATTTGATTATAAATGTGTAGAATATTAATAGTTTTATCGTTGTAAAGTTATGAAATTTGTGGGAAAAAATTTATGAAATTTGTTGTAACATTGTTATGAAACTGGAATTTCTTTAGTCAATTTGATAATAATAATAATGAGATGGATTCAATATGCAGATTTAAATTAATATATGAATTACTGTTTTTTTTTCCTGAAAATATAAATAAAATGTATAAGCTGAAATGAATTTGGTAGAGTAACTGGAATGATATTGGTATGAAAATGTATTTATTTTTGTGTAAAAAATATGAGTAAGAAGTATAATGATTTCTATGAAAAGTGTATTAAGTCGGTATGAAATGTAAAATGTTTTTTTTATATAATGTGTTTTATGGTATGAATTTATTATACTGTTTGAAATGATATTTGTATGAATAAGTAATGACGATTGTGTGTAATTTTGTGTGAGTAGAATGAAATTGGTATGAAAAATTAATCAGCATTGTGTAAAAAAATGAGTAAGAACTATGATTATTTGTATGGAATGTGTATTAAGTTGGTATGAAATGTGAAATGTTATTTTTTTATGAAATCTGTTTTATGGTATGAATTTTGTTATACTGTCTGAATGATATTTGTATGAATAAGTAATGACGAGTGTGTGTAATTTTTGTGTGAGTAGAATGAAGTTGCGGATTAAATTTGTATTATCTTTGGTATGAAAAGTTAATATAAATACAACATATTTATAATTGTTTTGTATTATGTAAGACTAACTGTTATTTTTTTTAATGAAACAGGGAAATGTGTTGATTTTAAGCTGTCAGGGATTATCTATAAATCTTCTAGTCTGTATAGTGGTCTAGTAAGTGTGATAAAATCGCAACTTATGATAGATGTTAATATTAATGATATAGAGATAAAATATATAGTTAGTGATCGATGTCACCTATTAGTATCCACAATGATGTTGGTGAACGGATTTTTTTAGATAAAAAGAAAGCTAATGTAGATTTTTTTACGAAATATCCATTGTGCATAACTTTGAAGAATATACCAATGGATAATCAAGATTCTGTAATTGTTGTTTAGAACTATATAATTTTTTTATTTTATTTTGTCTTTTAAGACTCATGTTTTGTTTTGATATGAAACAGAATTGGTATGAAATGCATTACAACTAAGTGTTTAATATATTGTTCATGTTTTATATAAAATTCATTCATTAATCATACAAATTGCATACTGTTGGAAATAAAATTCATTCCAGTTTAATATATAAGATAGTGTTCATATTAGTGATAATTATATAAGGTAATTATGGTATGCATTTGGTATCCTAATAGTAGTTGATATTATTTAATGTAAGTTTACATGAGTATTACTTTGGTATCCAACTGATGTTCTACTCTAAATCAAAATAAAACAAGATGTAATTAATGTTGGTGCAAAAGTTAATGATCGTTGTTTTAGATTGTCATATTCATTTCTTTCAGTATATATACAAATTGTATACCAATTTCATACATCTTTAAAGTACTTAATACATGCTTGTTAAGAGAATATAATTTACAATTAGTAATAATTTGGTATCCATTAGGTGTCCAACTTGAATAAATATAAAACAAGATGTAATTGAGGTTGTTACAAAATACAATGATCACTATTATACATTGGCATAATCACATCTTCAAGGTATTTATACAGGTTGGATACCAACTTCATTCATTTCTTATCTTTTTATTTTTTGTGTTAGAATATGAAGTAAAAAAAATCAATCATGAATGAATTTGGATGCCATAAGTGTACAGTTTGGATATCAATTATAAGACAAAGTTGGTTAATAAACTATAAAAATTGGTATTCTTTTTGTTTCTAGTTAGTAATACAGAGTAATATCAGTAAGTCTAAATGTTGAATCCAATTGGTATGCAGTTTGTATATAACTGTCATCCCGAAAACAGTTATACTCAATGTGTAATATATCTTCCAAATGGTGTATCCAAATGGTATGTAGTCTGTATATTACTAGTATCCTGAAATTATAATAGTCAATCAGTAATTCATATGTAGATGGTATTTGATTGAAATAAAACGGTGGATATTATATATCATCAAATACTGAAACACAAAAATATTGTCCAAAAGTTAAAAGAACATGTAATTCTAAAATGTAGAAGGTACAATCAACTATCTCAAATTTCTTTTCAGTGGTCTTGGTGTAGGATAATTGCTGGTATCCGGAGCATGTTCTTTTGCTATGCGAGGTCACCAAATTTGCTAGCAACCGTACCAGTTACTTCACTCTCACTGATCGCATCATCCTCATTCTTTATTTTTCCATAATGCCATATGCTTGTGGCATATCTTTGACGATGGTACTTTGCATCGATATCAACATAACACATATCAAAAACACCATTACTGATATATTTAGCAAATAGACATGTGTACAAACCACAATCACCGAAAAAAATTTAAAAGAAAAATCATTTTAAGAAATAAATTAAGTTAACTTTTCTGATGAAATCAATATAGAAATACATACTTGGAACTATCTTCTTGTTAAGGCACATGCATCATATGCTTGACTTCAAGTGGGTCGGATTGAGACTTGTCAACATATTTGGAGAGTTCATTGGCATACAAATCAAGCCTTTTACCATAAAATCTCGTGCTCGTAAAAAAAATGGTATCATTGTGGCAGTTTACCACCCTTTGCCGGAGTTTCGACATTTTTTGGCGACGGGGTTTGAGTCAATTTGTTGAAAGTTGGAGCATGTACTTCATCCGTAGAAGTTCCTTCAACTAATCGAGGACTCTTTCGAGGCGGTACAATGATTTTCTTCGACATGATGGTGATGATGAGAAACGGAATGAGAGGGACGATTGTGAAGTTGGGGTAGTGGGGTGGTGAGAAAGATGGGAGGGACAATTGTGAATGTGTGGTAGTGGGGTGGTGAGAAAGACGAGAGGGACGATTGTGATTGTGGGGTAGTGGGGTGGTGGCGTGTAGTGTTGGATAGGCGTGGGAAGGGGGTGGGATTAACGTATGGGAGGTTTGGAGTGTAACGGTAATCAAGGAACTCTAATCAATGTAAATTCCTAAATTTGTGTAACTGATAATTTCTGTTTTAAAAAAGGAACTGCAATCAAATTAAATTAATAATTAATAATATAAAAATATAAAGAGATTAATCATTTATTAAATTAAATTGTAATTGATTTTTAAATAAACTTAAATTTAATTGATGTGTTATAACTCGTACATAAACTGTTATAAGTAAGAATTTTTTAAGAGCATGTTTAAAACCCGTAATATTGTCTCTTAAATGTGTATATGGTGTGATTTTTTACTTTTAAAATAATGACATACAAAATCATATTTAAAGAAGTTCATCCGAATACATTTCAGATAAAATCATATTTAAAAAAGTTCAAACAAGTAAGGATAAAAAACTAAGGGAAACATTTTTACTTTTTTGAAATGTTTTCTACTATGATTCTCTCCAATCAGCATTATGACAAACCAAAATATTGACATTTTAAATAAATATTGAAAGTGTTGACAAGGAATCCTATTAGATGCTAAAATATTGTAGTTTTGAAAATTTTCTCATTAATTAAAGTGATTTTCTATTATATATCCGGAAGGCCACTGATTTGAACAACTATAAATATAGTTTAACAATATCCTAAATCCTCTTTGTTGTTTTTCTATTAGTTCGAGTTATTCAGATTCACGAAAAATCTTCCTTGCCAAACATTCACAAGTAGTAATAAATTAGGTAAACCGTTGGTGTCAACCTCAATTTTTTATTATTTAGTTATCCGTTGTTCCCCTTAAGTTACTCCCTATCATTGTATCCTTTTGTATATATAAAAAAAAACATCATTTCTGCAAAAAATAAAGAAAAAAAGAGAGATAGCTGTTGTGAAGGAAAAAGGAAAACAATGGCCTCTCTTAGATGTAATTACTCAGTTATATTTCTCTTTTCAGTTGTGTTATTTGCATCTTTAATCCCAAAATTGCATGCCAACATTGGTGACTTTGACCCTTATTTGGAAAAGAGAGCTGAAGAAGCCCTCCAGTCTTCTCTTGCTGCTTACAATGAAAATCCTGAGCAACTTACACAAACATTCAACAAGGAAGTTGGAGAGTAAATGCTTTTATGACCATTTTTTTTTATCTTTAATATTTTCATTTTTAAAAATATAATAATAATAATAGTTAACATTGGTTTTTGTGTAATATTGCAGAACTCTCTTTAATGGCACGAGGAGGTATCTGAGGGAGATGATATGAGAAAAATGCTTTCATCATGTAAGAAAATGGAATTCTTCTAGAAATTATCTAATTTGGTTTTTGTGTTTACTGTAAAAATGCCCTCATTGAGAAAATAATATAATCTCACCTTTGTAAAAGATGCAAGTTCAAATGATTTAAGAATCACTACTGTTCATAAGGAATAAAGTCGAGCATAAGGATTCTGCAAACAACATATTGAAACAAGAGAGAAAAGTCCATGTCTCTCGTGTATATTAGATGCAACCAAACACAATACCTTCCAAATCAACTACCCATGAGAAAAGAATCATTAATCCCACGGTAGAATCAAAGAAGAGTAGACTACAACTAAGTCGTGTTCATCTTCAGCTAAGCATGTCAATTAAACACGATGGACAAACTTATTCGTGAGCCACACCGAGTGGTTTTGGAAAAGGAATGAAAAGTAGACTACAAAACTGCATAGCTGAATGAAGCATAATCTAGTTCCAAAATACTTTTGGATGAACCTGATTTCAGAGAAGATATTTTGTTCATGGTCATTCCATAACAACTTTTGCTCCAACAGCTTTCATTTTCTCAATTATTTGTTCTGCTTCTTCCTTTGGCACTCCCTTCTTGAAAACAGCTGGAGTTTTCTCAACTAAGTCCTTTGCTTCCTTGAGTCCCAAATCAGTAAAACTTCGGACTTCTTTGATTATCTTTATCTTTTGAGCAGGCTCATATGACTCCAGTTTAAGTTCAAAAACAGTTTTCTCTGGTTTCTTTTCCTCCTTAGCTGCTTCTGGTCCCTTCATAGCTGCTGCTGCCAATCCAGCTGCCCCTGCCTTCATAACCCCAACCATTGGTTGCTCGGTCATACCCAACTTCTTCATAAGAATGGAAGACAGTTCTGAAACTTCAACCAAGGTAAGTCCCGAAACTTCATCCACAAGCTTCCATACCCTATCCGATGGAGGACTGCGATGCTCCGTAGGATCAAAATTTGCAGGATCATAATCAGCTGGAAGCTTTCTCTGGTCAATCTCTACTTCTTCCTCCTCTTCTTCCTCTTTCCTAGCAGGCTGACCAAAGTGTCGAGTAAAGACAGTTGAGGTAACAAAATGGGAGTTAACCACATTGGATTGAACAGATTGTCTCAAGAGTGCACAAGGCAAATGATGCCTCAGTCGTGAAATCAAACTCATTTCCAAAATTCTACTGCACAGGGAACTGGACTAGAAAGTAACCATCTACTGATCCTTCTGAAAGCTCAATCAACAACCTGCAAAAACCAACAATAAGGTCATATGGAACTCTAGTTACATTTCCAAACAATGTAGTGACAGCACTTGGAATAAAAAAGACAAATAAAAAGTTTCAGGTGTGAATGAGAAGCAAGTTTACAAGTGTATATATTAAGCACAACTATAACTATTTTATAGATAAAAGAGGCTATATCAAGAAGAAGAAGATGAAAGCTCTAATTCCACTTCCTAATTATACAGGAACAGGTATAATAAAAAAGAACAAATAAAAAGTTTCAGGTATGAATGAGAAGCAAGTGTACAAGTGTATAACTGTAAACATTACACACAACTGAAGCTTTTACCAGAAATAGTGGAAGCTCTACTTCCACTTCCAGATTATATAGAGCACTTAGGATAAAAAAGAACACAAACAAAAAGTTTCAGCCATGAATTAGAGGCAAGTTAACAGGTGCATAACTGTATATGTTATGCAATATGCACAACTAAAGCTTCTTACACTAATAAGTGTTTAGTGTTAACAAATGCACAAGTGTAACAAGTTGACAAGAGCATCACTGTATATGTTACACTGGAAGTTATCCTCTGCACAGTGTACATGCCAATTTTACCGACAGAATCACACCCAAACATTAAGTCAATCATATAGAATAAGTTTCTGAAAAACTCCCTTAAACTAATACAGCATTTGCTTAAGTCCAGACTCCCTACATATATTACCAATTGTCTAATGGACAGCAAAAATATAAAATTTGGAGCTTCATTAAACCTGAGGAGATTAACAATACACTTATTTTTTATTGTTGAGAACAAAACAAAAAGTATTTTCTTTTGTGCAATTGCAATACCTTTGTCTTTTTTATAGCCATGCTCTCTACAACAACCTATCTAAGTCATAAAAAAGTGTAACTTGCAAACAACAGCAGACCCACAATTTAAAGCCATGGGTGCTCAAACACCCGCTCAGCTCTATGGGGTTCGTCCTAGCTGCAAGAGAGACGAACCAAATGTCCTAGTGAAAGGCCGTCACTTTACCTTGTGAAAAAAAAAATAAGCATGTATTCTTAGGTGAGAAGATGTCAGGTGTGTTGTAGACGATGAACAAAGAAAAGGCCAAAAGGGTAAAATAAAAAGAATCCGTGTGAATTAAGAAAAGGAACTTGAATCATTTTGACAGGTATATTTACTAATGACCTGTATCATGGGCGCTAACCACATATATCTATAACTTATCACTAATGATCATGAGAAACGCCAATCTTAATGACGACACAATGACAGAAGTATATAAAAGCAAGCTTAACCAATTATTTCCGACTGATGCCAATATGATCAAACTCAGGCAGTCAATAGATGCTTAAATGTTTTCTGAGGTGCATGACCTTTGAGATGCCTAAGGAGTGGCCACGATGGTTATCCTTAGATGAATTGTGGTATAATACTTCTTACCACTCCTCTATGCATATGCCCTTTTATGAAGCAGTTTATGGCCAACAGCCACCCTCATTGCTTCCTTACATGTTGATTCCTAACTGGATTTGGTTGATAGGAGGTAGCAGACAAGAGAAGCCACATTGAGGACCATTAAGTTCCACCTTGAGAGATCCTAGAGTAAAATGAAGTTGTTGGCTGATAAAGGGGAGGACTGACAGATCCTGTAGTGTTGGTGATTAGGTCTACATCAAATTTCAATCTTACGGGCTATTATCCTTGAGGTCTCATGCTTATCACAAGCTTTTAGCCATGTCCTTTGGGACCTTTTAAGATCTTAGCCAGGGTCGGAGCTATTGCTTACACTTAAGAGTTACCTATTGCCTCCAAGATCCACCCCAATTTTCACATTTCCCAGTTGAAAAGAAAGTTAGGATCTCATATTGCTTTTGTGACCCTGCATGTTGTTCAAACTGAAGTTGGTCCTATCCTTTCGGAGCCTGAAGTAGTGTTGGATAGAAGATTGATCCAGAAGCATGAAAAGGCAACTACTCAGCTTCTGATCAATGGTTTAGTACTGCTGATAAGGACAGTACTTGGGAGGACTATCCCTCTTTCAGTCAACAGTTCCCTCACTTCAATCCTTGAGTACAAGGCGGGTAGTTGATATGATCCTAATGTGTCTTTCTCAATTTGGATTTTGTAGAAGAAGTTAGCTAGTTGTTGTTATAAACCTCACGTGAGCTTCACGTGAGAGGTCCGGCCGTTAGGTTGTTAAAACACTTAGAGTTAGTTATAACTGTTTTCTTATTCTTTTCTATTACGCAGATTTCATATATGTGTTAGTTCCTGTTGATTGTAATCATTCAGAAAGTCAATCAATACAAACTTCTCCCTCTTTTCTCAATCAGTGTTTTCAATATCAATAGGCAAAGTTGTTCAAGAGCGATTCTCAATTCATTTCTCTTTAGGCTAGCTCAATCTTTCCAATTCTACTTGTAATCACGTCACATCCGCTAAAGAAGAAGAAAGACAACATTAGAACCGGAGATGGAGGCTTTTTCTCTTTTGCCCTAAAAGACAATCTTTCATCATCTATAATGGAGGTAATTAATGTGAATGGTTTTCTATTATGTATCCAGAAGGCCACTAATTTGAACTACTATAAATATAGTCTAACAATATCCTAAATCCACTTTGATGTTTCCCTGTTAGTTTGAGTAATTCAAATTCAAGTGGCGTACAAAGGGAAGCTTCCCTGCCAAACATTCAAAAGTAATAAATTAGGATGACAACAGCAGACCCACAATTTAAAGGCCATGGGTGTTCAAACACCCACTGAGCTCTTTGTCCGTAGCTGCAAGAGAGAAGAATCAAATGTCCTAGTAAAAGGCAGTCACTTTACCTCGGAAAATAAAAAGAGTATGTATTCCTAGGTTTGAAGATGTTGTAGACAATGAACAAAGGAAAGGCCAAAAGAGTAAAACAAAAAGAATCCATGCAAATTAACATAAAGGAACATGAATCATTTCAACAGGTATCTTTACTAATAACATGTATCATGGGTGTTCACCACATATATCTATATAACTTATTACTAATGATGAATAGAAACACCAATCTTAATGAACAGAAGTATATTAAAGCAAGCTTAACCAAAAGTTATCTCCAACTGATATCCATTTGATCAAATATGTCTAAGTTAAACACAAACATTTCCCATCAAGCCTAATTAAGTCCAAACTTGAGACGAAAAAAGCTATGTAATTTCAAACATGTCTAAAGTTGGAACTTTGCCCATAACCTAACATCAGAAGTTTAAGGGTCCTGAAATCAGTTATATGTGCACTTCCCTATTAATTTTGAATAGGTCCAGCCCAAATAAAGAAGCATAGATTACCGCTAGGGCTCATTATCCGTAGTTCCTAAGCTACAGATTGTACGGCAAGGACTGACAATGCAGTGTCCACCACTTCAATAACCGGTGGTCGAAATGAAACACAGAATCCGCAAAATGACAAATCAAAGTTTGAAGAAACCTCCATGAATACCCAAAATTGAGAAGAAAAGATGAATATTGGATTTGATAAACCCAAACTATTTTGGAGTGACTGACCTTGAGTTTTGAGTTGACGAATCGATGGCAGCGGCAATTGCAGACTGTTCGAATAACCCTTGCGTATGAATCCCAAAACCAGTTTAGCCCTTTCTCCTAAAACCCAGGGGTAACAATGTCATTTACTTGTCCATTTAATTAATCACTTCTTTCTTTATACATTCTAAATTAGTAAATCTTTTAAATTTCATTTGTCAAAATTATTGATTATTTGTGTTTTTATTAGTGATTAAAAAGAAAATTGTTTTTATTTTTCATTGTATTATTCTCTATTTATAAACTTTTTATCCATTAAATAAATACTAAAATAACTTTTTAAAATAGTTATTTAAAAAAAGAGATCTATATGATTCAATAAGAGGAATCTATTATTCTTGAACAAGAAAATAAAATTTATACATTAATGAATTTATTTTTTAGCCTTTTAACAAGCTTCTAAATAATGGTATGATAAATTCGATCAAGGCTTAATAAACCATAATTATTCTTCTACTAAAATAGATAAATATGTTTATATTAAAGTTGTGAATGAAACTCATGTGATAATATGCTTATATATTGATGTCATGACTCGTGCTTATATTTTCAAAAAGGCTTAATCCATCCGTCACCCCCTAAAAAAGTTGGCACGATGTTTCACTTAGACACCTTAACTGTGCGTTGTTCATTTTAGACACCTCATGTAAAGTGTTGGTGTGTCATTTTGACTAACATATCGGTGGCCACTTAAAGTTGGCACCAATTTTCACTTAGATACATTAACTAAGCTTTGTTCATTTTAGACACCTCATGTCATGTCCCGTTGTGTCATTTTGACACTTTGTACTGACATGGCATAGTGAGTGTAAATACACTCAATACCAGCGCATGAAAGGCTCATTAAATCATTTTTATTTTATTTTTTTTCATTTTCTTCTTCATTTTTCAGCCACCATCTCTCAAAACTTGAACTCCTTCCTTGGAGAAATAGTTTTGATGATGCTACTGACAAAAAATGAATTTCAACACGAAGAGATTTCACAAAAAAAAAAAAATTCAACCCATTAGAAGGGCCACAATTCATGATGTTGCAATTAAGAAGGGCAGCTGAAAATCTTGAAAAAGACGATGGGTGGGGTGGGAGAGGGGTGGAGAAGATGATGTGGGTGGGGAAAAAGTTGGGGTTAGAGTGGGCAGAGGTGGAGAAGACAATGGGTGAGTGGGGGAATAGCAGAGAAGACGATATGGGTGGCTGGGGCGGAGAAAATGACTTTGGTGGGGTTGGGTTATTTTATTTTATTTAATTTTTTTGTGTAAAAAATTCCACATGTCATTTAGTCATTGACTACTTCTTCATTCTACTAAAATATCATTATTTAAAAATTATTTTTAATATATATGCCACATGTTTTTATTTAATTTGCCACTTTGACACGTATCGACGAGTGTGTTACACACACCTTATATATTTGACTGATTGTTAAAAAATGTTAAAATA